CTGCAAGTCACGCACTGATTTGGCAATTTGCATGCAACGACCGCTAGATGGCGCCGTGCACGTGCTCCGGACAGTCCCCAAGTCCATGGAAATGGGTGGTGTGTGGGGGTGGGGAGGTACGAAGCCTCTCTTTAACAATCAATATTTGAACTGAAATTGCAAATTTCATAATTTCTGGTACAGTTTTTTTAATTTAAAAGTTTTTGCTGCTGGCAGCCATATCTTTTCATTGGAATTTGATTAATTTTTTACGGTGACGGGGGGTGGGAAGGGAAGGGGTAGGGTATGGGCAACACTGCGTATGCGCAATTTTAAGCGCCAAAGTGTGTAAATGGAGATAAGTTTTGGGTTGCTAGTATGTGTGTGTGTGTGTGAGCGGGTGGGTGGGTGGGGGTGTGTTGGGTTAGATGCTTAGTTCGATTGGCATTTTGCAAAATTAAATATTTTTGCGAAATGTATGTCAGTCTTATTTCCCTTCGCTCAAGCACTCTGTTTGCTCTCTGTAACGATACCCTCATTGCGAGCACGAGTACGAGTACGAGTGCGAGTATTAATTTATTGGCAATCTAAATGCGAGGATGAATGCACAGGAAGCAGGAGCAGGAGCCGGAGCCGGAGCGGGAGCAGGAGCAGTGCATCGAGTGGCAGCACTTTCCCTGCTTTTGGCATTTTCATTTGCATTGTAAGTCGAGAGCAGCTTTTCGGAGGAGATGCTCGACAGAGGCGTGCTGGGAAGAGGGAAAACCCAGCTAAGCTTAAGATACTATCGATTATTAATCGGAATACTCGAAAACCTTCTCGCCTTAACCCGGAACATCGCTTAACTCCGTTTACTCGTTCTTCCTTGTGGCCCTTGATCCTTTTATGGAGCCATGTCCCTGTCAATTGCCGGCATTGATATCGATAACAGTCGGTTGAACCCGGACCAGGACACGCCCAACGCCCAACGCCTCAATGCATATACATATGTATGCATTCAATCGCCCCCTATTCCCTCCCTCTCTCCTCAGTCTCCTCTTACCTCTGAACGAACTTTTTCATGCTCCATTGTGTTATAAATATTCATAAAGCGCTTCGCCATTTTTCGTTGCGACCGCCGCAACTAAAGCCTTGATTTCTTGCATTTCGCACACTCACCCACACCCACACACACACACACACACACACGCAGGCACCGACAGAGACCTGCACAGACATGCACGGACATGTTACCAATACCTAGCCAATATGGCTGACTATAGGGGAACACACCCCCCTGCACCCTATACAACTGCCGTCTATCTTGCACCCACTACCCCGCCACAGCACCACCCCACCACCCCACCACCCACTGCCGTACTACCCATTTAACCGCAAGCCATGCTTCTAATGCCGCGTTGGCATAAATTTAAAGCAGCAGCTGCGGTTTTCCACTGCTTTTCCTCCCCTGCCCTGTTTTCTCTCTCTCTCTTTCTCTTTCAGCCATTCTCTAGATATGGCCGAGAGGGGATTTACTCTACCCTACCCTACCCTACCCTACCCTGTCCTGTCTGTCGTTCTCTGTTGCTCCGCTTTAACAGGCAAGAGCCAAGTGATAGCCCCATGGAAGAGCAACAAAGACTATTACAAAAACTAACCCAGGTACGGCTTTAAGCCCCCGCCGCCCCCCAAAAAGCATTTTATGCTGCTAATTGATTTTTCAAACACGATTTCGCTTCAGCCCCCTCTCTGTCTCTCTGTCGCCCTGTCTATCTCTCCCTGCTGCCACTGCCACTGCCACTGCGCTTTTGTTTGGCATTCAATTAACGGGAATTTGCATTTTATCTTTGGCCACACTTTTGCCACTATAGTATATCGGGGCTATAGCTCGACTTTATACATATGTATGTATGTACATACGCGCATATACATATACAAACATCGCTCGAGTGGCGGCCGGCTGGGATGTAAAAACAAAAGTCTCAAGTGCTAAATCAACAAAACAGCACAGAAATATGAATATGCGATTAAAAGGTATTTGAAATTGCTCCCCTCCCCCGACGATACCCCCTTTAATTACATCACTCAGCATTGATCTCTGTTCAAAATCAGTGGAACGTGAGGTGCGATCGCTTGTGTGTCAAAGATTCGTCATGAAAAATATTCTCATGCTGTTGCAAAGTGTTGTTTTCCAGATAGGCACATAAACCTAGATACTTAATAGTCGAGGGTTTATTTCTGTAGTCAATGAACCCAAGAATGAAGTTTGGTAGAAGTTTGAGGCGGACTTTTCTCAGAATTGGAAACGCTTATCGATAAACAATCGGCAAAATTATGCTTTCCCACCCACAGCCAGCCAGCCATCGATAATCTCTGCCGCAGCGCTGCTCCCAGCTCATACGCTGGACGCATACATATATATCTCTCGCTCTCTCTGCATGCTTCTCCCGCAAGGCTGGCTCTGTTTTTCCAGCTTATCAGTTAGCAAAGTCTAGTGTCATACAGCTATTCCTAGGTCTTTTCGCCCAGATAGTTCCATGGATAGTTACACTTCAAAAATGTCAGAGTTCCCGGGCCGCATTCTCTTAGAATTCACAACACAGAAATGCTTACGTGTGCTTACAAAAATCGCCATAACCTCCAAACATAGCGTAAACTTTTGTATTAACCAGCCTTGGATATCGCTGTATGCACTGCAAAAACCATGCAAATATTTAATGGTTTTTTTTCAACATAATCCCATAAACCTAGATTTGCTTTTGCTGAAGGTTGGTTTTACATTTAAAGATGCTCAGAATTAGCTATGGAACTATCTGTCTCGCTTCGGAATTCAAAGACACTGAACCTCGAAAGCACTCAAACTCAGTTGACCAACACTGCTGAGCGTAACATAACACTGACTCTTAGCAACTTCCTGTAAACGACCTTCATTCAAGCGAAACAACAAAGACGATCGCATGGAGAACAATCTAGACTGTTGATGATCGCCACTTGCCCCAACCAACCAACCAACCAAGCACTTCCATCTCCACAAAGTACATTATGTTTTGGTTTAATAACAATTATTATCGACCAGGCAAGTTCATAAAACTTGATGGGCCATGCGAGCATAAATAATACTCGTACAACAGCCGCAGCCGCAGCAGCAGCCACCGCCACAGCCTCAGTGGACGACAGTTGCAGGCGCAGCTGAAGTCTCAAGGTCAGGTTGCGGGCTAAATTTAACATTGAAACTGCATTGTCTGCGGCCAAGCGTTAAAGGAGGTTGCAACCGGTTACGCTGCAAAAGATCTTACAATCTGTTGCAGCTTCTTCTTCTGGTTTATTTGGCGCTTATTTCAAAAGAGAAACAAAAGCCACGTAAGGCCCGGTCCCGGGAACGGGCCGGCGTGACATTGAATTGTAAATGCAGGCGATAAAAAAAAACGTGGAGCGCATAAAGTTTACAGAAACCGAAGCGCAGGGCAAAGGAAAAGAAGTAAATAAAATGTAAGCCGACATCCGATGCATGTGAAACTTTTTTATGTTGCGCGAAAACCCCCAGCAGCGGAGCGCTGCCTCAGAGATGACCGCGTGAGGCGTGGGGCTGTGGGCTGTTTGCTGTGGGTGATCTGTAATACATAGAGATACATGCATTTATTGGGCGGATCTTCCTGTGTTATAGCTATTGATTGATTCTATTCCCTTCCTCTTCCTCTATCCGATCAGACCACGACAGCAGTCGGTGCCGAGCCATCGCCAATGCTCTCTCATGCACAAACAACCTTTAGCTTGCGCTCATGCAGTGCCTGCTCTGCTGCTCTGCTGCTGTTTGCGCTTTATCCAATCCACTGTTGCCTCGCTTCCCTTCCCCATTCCTTCCTCCTCATTTATCCACGGGTCAGCTGGTGACGCTCTGCTTCTGCATCCTCTGCTTCGACATTGACATTTTTTGCGCTCTTACTCTTTGTTTTTTACAGTGAGAGTATTATGATTGAGCTAGAAGTTTTGCCACTCAGAGAAGGCATTATTCTCCCAGAATATAAACTCTGTATATATATTGCTGATCGGCATCAAAAGTAGAGGCCATACTTCAGGTTTATCTATGAGTAGTCAAGAGTAGATTCGCCTATGCCATAGCTGCCATAGTAAGAGGCCATCCGCAAGGGTATCAAAGCCTCGGTTCACCGAAGCTAGCTTGACTTTCGTGTGCTCTCGCCGAAGCTCTTGCTCGCTCTCTCACTCTCTGTTTCTCTGTACTTTGTTGTCGTTGTTTAATGGTTTTATACATCTTTTGTTGCTGTTGCTGCTGCCATCGCATTACGTCACTTTCACTGTACTTTGCGGCTTAAGGCAGCATTTGTTGATTGTTACGTTTGCTTCTGCTGCTGCTTCTGCCGCTGCTTCTGCTGCTTGGTCCGTTGTTTGCACTTGTTTTTGGTACAAACAAGCAAATTGCAATAAAAATGCTTGAATTTATGGTCCACTGGCATACATTCCTATATGTAAGTATGTATGTATGTATGTGTGTGTGTGTACATATATTTTTCGTTTGGGATGATTTATCTGAGACTTTTGTTCGGTTCACTTTTCAACTTTTGGGTCACGCCGGGCAGCGGCAGTGGCAGCGGCGTCAACGGCACAATTTATGTCCGTTTACAGGGCAAACTTTTCAGTTATTTTTTTGGTTCAAGTTCATCATTGCCACTGGTTCCAGGCTCCGCGGAGTGGAGTCGTTAAGCTCCATGTTGCGGGCATGTCCATTGAGTTGGCCGTAATTTACATCTTGTTAAACATCAAAAAAACTATTAAAAAGCTAGATGTGATTTGATCATATTCAGTCACGCATACGCCCGATCTGCCCGATCTGTGCGCCCTGCCCTCATACGGTATGCAATCATTGTTAGGGTCATGCTCGATAAGAATCTAACCGAAAAAAACCCATTAGCGAATTCAACGTGGCCTGACTAAATAGACCAAAAACGAGGCTAATTTCTCAATCCGCAAATGTCGCCGAATTTCGGGCGGTTAGTTCCCATTGATCCGCTGAAAACCATAAACCCATGGGCCATGGTGCCTCTGCGACGTCTGGCCTTGGGCATCATTTGCATATCAGCACAGGCCACCTGCGTGAGTCTCCTATCGAAGCATAAGCATAAGCCCTACCAGTATCAGAGATTGATCGTTTTCAATTGATTCCCAGCTGTTTCTGCAAATCGATAAGCTGCACGTGCACTCTTTTGTGCCCGACGAGATCTATGTAAGCACCAGCGTCGATCACCTGGAGGCCATCAACTTCAATCTGACCATAAAAGTGCCCTTTGCCGGCAAACTGCTGATGCATATCTTCCTGAGAAAGCTCTCCGACACGCCTGGGGGCTCGGACTTCAGCGATCTGATGCGCTTGAAGAATATGGACCTGTGCAAGGTACTCGACTCGCTGCGGAATATCTCAACGGATCATGGCCAAGGGGAGAGTCTGCTGCCGTCCACCTTCTTCATATCCTGTCCGCTCGTTCCCGGATTCTACTACGTGGCGAACAGTGCCATTGATGTGAAGTTCGTTCCCTTTCGCGTGCCCGATGGCAGATATCTGGCAATGCTGGAACTGGTGCAGGTTTACGAGGAGGTCATCAAATTGGTTACCTGCAGAATCAAGTTTAGCATGACAACCCCGCCGGGCTATGTAGTGAAATCAGATCTGAATAACAGTGTGGAGGAGCCCCAGCAGGTAGAGCCTCCGAAAGAAGAGCCTCCGAAGGAAGAGCCTCGGAAGGAAGAGCCTCCGAAGGAAGAGCCTCCAAAGGAAGAGCCTCCGAAGGAAGAGCCTCCGCAGGAAGAGCCTCCGAAGGACGATCCTCCGATGGAAGAGCCTCCAAAGGAAGTGCCTCCGAAGGAAGAGCCTCCGAAGGAAAAGCCTCCGAAGGAAGAGCCTCCGAAGGAAGAGCCTCCGAAGGAAGAGCCTCCGAAGGAAGAGCCTCCGAAGGAAGAGCCTCGGAAGGAAGAGCCTCCGAAGGAAGAGCTTCCGCAGGAAGAGCCTCCGATGGAAGAGCCTCCGATGGAAGAGCCTCCGATGGAGGAGTCCGAAGATGTTTCCGATAGTATGGATGACAATGAATAAGTTTTGACCATTCATATATTATATCATTGGTTCCACGCCTTAGACCTGCCGTAACAGTTGACTACGATATCTTTCTTTCATCATCTTTTCTGTGCGAAATCAAAATTTATTGCCATCTCCGAAACAGTTTAAACACAAATTGACACATCTCCACATGGCCAGAGCCAGGCCCATGCCAACTTAATTGAAATCCCCAGGGGCATGGGAAATATACCGCTCAGCTACAGGCAGACGACAATGATCCATTGTTGCACAGCTGATACTTGATATGATATGCATTTGGTATACATTTACTACAATATATATGCATATATCTATATCAATTTACGGAATTTGTGACAACTGGTGGCATTGCCATCTGTTCATTCTCAAAATCCATTAAATTAACATATCTAGAGCGGCTGCGGCTGCTGGGCGAATGTTTCCGGTTTTTCTTCTTCTAGTACGGATAAGCTGCAACCTCATCGTCATGGATGACCTGGCTTCCAGCATGACTTGGCACTAATGCTGGCCTCCGCCCAGCCCAAAACTCGAATTCAAAATCGAACGTTTACTTTGCTTTGCTATTTTATTTTGTATTGATTTAGTGATCGGATCTTCACGATTGATGGCTATTAGAAGTGTCAAATATTTATGGATCTTGATCTTCACTCTCATTCTGTCCGGCTATCATTTGTTTTAATTGGCTTGGCCATTGATCAATCAGGCATGGAAAGGTAAACAATATCCGCAATATCGTTCTTGAACTTGAAGGTGTTAAAGTGTTTAGAGGGGGCCTATAATAGTGATAACTGAATGGTGGAATCTTTTTTGTGTGATCTCAATAGTCTTCTTCTTGCCTGACCAACTTCCAGAGTGGCCTTCAGTTGAGCAGCTTTTTCATTTACTTAGTATTACTCAGTGTTTAATCAACGATCCAACTTATTCAGTGGACCTCCCCCCCCCCCCCCCACCCCCTCTGATAAACAGAAGATATGCCACCTAAGTGAACAGGGCATGGCTTTGGTTTCGGGGCTTTTAGCCGTTGGTTTAGTTTTTGCTGTTTAAAGACGAGCATAAGCCTGATTTGCACAGAGACTCGACAGACACGACACCTGCCAGACAGGGCCTTGCCCCCCTCCCCGATCTGGCCTCTGGCCTGCAGATGTTTTTGGCCATGTTTCGTTTTGTTTGGTTTTCTTGTTTTGTGTCTGTCTTTGTTTTGTTTATGTATCGCTTATTTGTCCACTTCTCCACTGCAGTCTGCAGTTTACATATCATCATCTCCCTCGAGCCACTGTTTTTGGGTGCTATAAAAGCCACAGGCCCCAGAAGCTACCAGTTGCAGTCAATTTTTGGATTAACCAGCGCAACATCTACCCAAGACAACACCCAACAATCATGAAGTACCTCGCCTTGGTAAGACTTCGGAATCAGAGTTGGAGGCGAAGGAGAATGAGAAGCAGTACTCAGTACTCCTCAGTATCCTCCCCCAATAATATTACTGGATTACATACAATATTTCCCCACTTTAGACCCTGTTTGTGTGCCTGCTGGCCATTGCTCTGGTGTCTGCAGTGCCCGTGGATGAGTCCTTGATCGGAGATAACATCTATCAGCCGGCTTTCGATGATGTGCAGCGTCCCCAGGATCCGCAAGCCATCTTCAAGCTGAAGAAGCTGCTCAAGCTGAAGAAATTGTTGGGTTAGAGGAAAGGATGTGTGCCATATACATACCTATAGTATATCATTCAGCTCAGATCAGCTCCGAATCTAGTCCATCCAAACCACAACAACACAACAACAACAACAACAGCATCAAGCTACTGCACTCAACAACGTTTAACCCGTTTTACTTAGATAATTCCATAATTCCATACTATCCATACCAAGCTTTTAAATGATTCATCGATCTGATTTTAATGGGGAATTCCTTTATTTTTCTTGTTTATGATGGGAACCAGTTCTACTTGTGGTCTATAAAGCATTCTGAAGTTTCCTTGAGGTTAGGTTGAAAAGTTTCCTTGAAATGATTTAATGATCAGCTTGATATAAAGATCCTTCTGAACAAATGCCTTTGGTCTTTTGGTTAATCTCTGGAAGGAAGAGCAGGAGTTATTCTGTAGATTCTTGCGAAATATTTGTATTCATGTCTATTTCCTAATCTTCTCCCAAAAGAGAGGCCCGCTTCTGCTTCAGTTTTGACAAACAAATGACTGAAGAAACAAACTGGGCTCTCCTCTCGCACTTCTCGCACTATCAACCATCTACGCCAGTTAGAACGAACACACAATGAGATTAGTTTATCAAATGCTTGCATTTCATTTAATTTTGTATTTTTTCTTAAAAAACCTAGACACAAAGTTAAGCTACCAAAAAAAAAAACATCCATAGCCGAATGCATGGAGGAATCTCATCTCTTAGCCCAAGAACAGGAGCTTCTTGAGCAGCTTCAGCTTGAGCAGGAAGGACTGATCGTCTGAGGGGTTGAAGGTGTCACTGCCAGGACCCTCGAGACCTTCGGGTATGGACTCCTCGATGGGCACCGCACTGGTGGCCATGAAGCACACGACCAGGCAAAGGAACACGCTCTGTAATCAAAAGGTAGTCCGTGGTTAGTGGATGTTCGATAGTCGATGTTGGATGGGGGTAATGATTATCCAGTTTTGTGTGTGTTGGGAGACGCACCAGGAGCAAGAACTTCATGTTGACTGCGGATGTTTGGAGCTGGGATTGATGGGATGTCGTTGACAGACCTGCTTGCACTGAACACCAGACCCGGCTGCCCAACTATTTATAGTCAGTCGCTCGACGGCCCAGCCCGGTCGTCTTTCATAGAAATTAAAACAACGCGGTGGCGGCTCGACGATCTCGTGAATCGGAGAGGAGTGGAGTGGAGTGAAGTGGAGTGGGAGGGGCGCGGGCAATCAATTTGTTTGGACTATTAAATGTGATTTAAGTGTACCACGCATCTGAGGCAATAACAAAAGCCCATACCGGACTACATATTTCATTTTGTGGCTGCTCTTGCGGTTCCATTGTTGAGTTTAAACTTTAAAGTATCAGTATTTGGACCATTTGTTGACTTGACGTCTCTCTTGGCGGCTGTTTCCCCAAAATTTGTGGTTTCTGTTTTTGCTAATCGGCATTTCCTTGGTTCTGGATGATTCTATTTGTGTAGGCCATTAGCCGCGAACGAACGAACTCTTCCATCCTCTGCTAAACTTTAATTAGCGGCCTGACATTGCAGCCTTAGCCAACGAGCATGGCCATTAGGCAGTGTATTAACACCTAAAATGGAATGCGGTACAGCATTCAAGCATGGCATGGTGTGTCTAGATATTTCTGTCAGTTAAACATCACTTTTCAATCATATCCAAACATTTAGGATAACAGTTTTTGAACTTACGCGCCACCAGGTATTTTTTAGTGCATTTTCGGGCATCGCGACTAGCGCTGCCAGTTCCCGCGATATTAGCCATCTGGCAACACCGAAGCGATTAAACAAAAAAAGCAATAAAAAAGAAGGAAAAAAACCAAATTAGACAATATATAACTTATAAACTCCAGTCAATCCAAAATACAAAAATTGCCCCCATCATACCAATCTGTCCTCTTTACGTCTGTGTTAAAAGCCGATCAGTAAAATGACTGGTTCATTCAGTGTGAAGCTGAAATCGAAAAAAGGTCAATTCATTGTCAAAGATTTGAACCAGAATACGACGCTTGGGGAACTGAAGACGAGAATAGCCCAGGCGACAGCCATACAGGAACTGCAGCTGCACGTGCTGGTCGGCTATCCACCCAAACCATTGGACCTCTCCGAAAATCGGGAAAATCAGAACCTCAAGACTGTGGGCATCAACAGCGGTGAGACCTTGATTGTGGAAGAAAAGGCTGGTGCTGCTGGCCCCACTTCCACACCCATTGCCAGTGGCAGTGGCAGTTCAACTATGGAGGATGACGAGGCGCTGGCGCGTCGTCTGCAGGCTGAGGAGGATGCGGAACATCTGCGTCAGGTATCCAGCGGAGGCAGCATAGAGACGGGCGCTTTAAATATCGTTCAATCGTTGGAGCCAGTGATTTCACCCGAAGAGTCTGGACCCAACGGCAACTTCAATGGCATTCTACTGAAAAAGGTGGTGCCGGCGGATAACTCATGCCTCTTCACAAGCATTCGCTTCGTCCTTAACGGCAAGGTGGACAATGAAGGCAGCGAAATGATGCGGCACATCATAGCCCAAGAGGTGTCTGCCGATACCCAGCAGTACAATGACGCCGTGCTGGGCAAGTCCAACTCCGATTACTGCGCCTGGATACAGAAGGCCGACTCGTGGGGCGGTGCTATTGAGGTCTCCATACTGTCCAACTACTACGGCATCGAGATCGATGTGGTGGACATACAGAACGCCATCATCAACCGCTTTGGCGAGGACAAGAACTTTGGACTCCGCGTCTTCCTCCTCTTCGATGGCATCCACTACGATCCCCTGTACATGGAGACCCAGCAGAACTCGGTTCCGGCCACCATTTTTCCAGTGGAGGAGATGGGCGTATACCAACAGGCCGAACAGATAGCCAACGAGGCTAAGTCCTCGCGCCAGTTCACCAACGTTGACAAATTCACCTTGCGCTGCATGGACTGCGATGTGATGCTGGTGGGCCAGGGCCAGGCCCAGGAGCACGCCAAGAAAACCGGGCACGAGAACTTCGAGGAGATTTAATACGTCCTGATTTTCGGAACCATTTATATTTTAGCGTTCATTCTGTTTGCCTACTACCTACTCACTACCTAGTGATGCCTACATTTCTGGCGACGGTGCACAACCCCACCGCTTTTAGCTAAATTATACATCATGTTTTTAAATTTTAAATTATTTGATTTGCAAAAATTATAGTATATTATATTTCTTTATCCCCTCTTGGATCGCAATAAAAATTGACATTTATTTAAACTAGAACAAAATGCTGGGGCTTTGGCCTTTCTCACTGCTAAGAGGCCCACGGGGGAGTCATGGCAGCCGGATTCTGTAGGTAGGACATGACCACAGCGCTGACGCTCAGCATGAAGGAAGAAAGAACTTGCTTGGCATCGTCGCTGGCCTTGGAGCTGGCAAAGCTAATGCAGGAGCAGTACAGTGCGAACCAGGCGCACCATTTCAGCTGTAAGAGAAGCGGTTGCATGTTACTGATAAGTCCACTTGGCCATAAATCGGGAAATTCGGGGCTCACCTTCATCATCAGCCCGCACATTGAGAAAATCATTCCCAAGATATTCATGTAGTCCGGCATCATGTCCTCGTTGGCGCCGCCGCCTTGGCCCTGGTTCTTGGGCGCCTTGTAGCGATTGATTTTCTCCTTGCGACGTGGATCCACAGTATTGCTCATGTTGAAAGTATTAAATTTTCACTAAATTAAACTAATTCGGTCAGAAAAATAGGAATGTGACGCAGTGTGACCGCGGATTATCGTTAAAACATACCGTCTGACCCTCAGAAATATACCAAAATATACCGTCGAATTTTAAAAATATACCGTAAATGGTCTGACGAATTCAAGATCTATATTACATATTCCTCGTTTTTGATATTCCGTCGAATATTCTCAGCTATATAGCACATTTAGCCATTCCCACATAAATGTATACGATTCATGAATAATTTTTCTACTTGACTGGCTTATTCTAAATACTTGCTTTTATTGGATCTTGTCTAATAAAAGGTTTTAACGAAATAGGTCAAACAAAAAAGGTTTTAGCGAAATAGGTAAAAAAAAAAAAAAAAACGAAAGAGGATAGTCGTTCATATTGTTTAATTTGTATATTCCGTTGAATAATTCTGTCTAACTAAAACCCATAGTTCTGCCCACATAATTTTAGGCCGTTGATGAATAAATTTTCTTCAAGATTGGCTAGTTTATAGTCCTTGTATTTTGGCTTAAACAAGGCATACAAAAAATAGTTCAACAAAAAAAACAGTCGCAATGTTGTTGGTATTTGAAGACAGACATGGTGCGCGCATTGCCTTTATATACCCTATTTCGTTAATTTCATATGAAGATAAAACGTAATTAATAAAGACCTTTTCTCAAATTGATATTTCTTTGACATGTATATTGAACCTCCTATTCTTGGCCTCTGAAAGAATACAATAAACGGCAAAATATTTAAAAACAAGAAAGTTATTGCCTTCTTTGGAGACTCAGGTGGCAACTCTACGCAGCAGCTGTTTTCTGTATTTATTCCTCCGCGGCACGCACGTTTGAATAGTTTGATAAATTACATAAAAATTACTAAAAGTTGCAGAAGAAATTATGGCTCTGAGAGTGCTCAGCCAATGCCTGGCGTCGCATATGCGCCGCTTGCAATTAAACACCGTAGGGAGCTCTTTAAATAGCTATAGCGGACGACTCCAATCGGTTCCACCGCGCTCCTGGACGTTGGATCAAAGCCGGCTGCTGCACGTGCGTGTTACGGATCAGGAAGCCGGTTTGCAAGCTAAACGCGAGGCCAATAGGTTTAACAATCCATTCCAAGATGAATTTCCTGCGGAAGATAATGTGGGTGTTCACAAGCAGCAAAATAAGTTTAAGTTTGCGAAAAATGGGAAGGAAAAGAAACCGAAACCGGAAAAAGTTTTAGAGCATGGGGATCCGGATACCTTTGGCGATGCCAAGATTAGCGCCAGTCAATCTGAAGATCCTGGTGATATCGAGGAGGAGGAATACATAAGCAAGCCTACGCGGCATTCAAAGAAACTGCAAACCAAGGAATACGCACATCTCATCAAGGAACACTTGAACGCGAACCGGCTAAACGATGCCATTGCCGTGCTGGAGCAGCGTATGCTCCGAGAGGATCGCGTCAAGCCAGAGAAGTACATATACAATCTTCTGATCAGCGGCTGCGCCAAAGCCGGATACACCCGTAAGGCGTTCTCCCTGTACACGAAGATGCGGCAGCGCGGACTAAACGTTTCGGGAGGAACGTATACCTCGCTCTTCAATGCTTGCGCCAATGCACCTTCCATCAGCGATGGACTGGCCAAGGCTCAGATCCTGCGAGAGAATATGCTGGAGAAGGGCTACGAACCAAATGCGAAAAACTACAACGCCATGATCAAGGCCTACGGCAGGTGCGGAGATGTAGACACAGCCTACATGCTGGCAGATGAAATGGTGGATCGTAAGCTGGACATGAATGCAGACACATTCAATTTCCTGCTGCAGGCGTGCGCCAGCAATCCGGAGCACGGTTTTCGACATGCTCTCCTCACGTGGCATAAAATGTTGCGGGGAGGCATCAGCCCGGACTACTACAGCTTCAATGTTATGCTACGTTGTGCCCGGGACTGTGGTTTTGGTACTTTGGAGTCCATGCGAGAGGTTCTACACCAGATTGCTCCAGCAGCAACCAAACAGGAGGCGGTACCCCAACTGGAGGGAGGAGAAAAGGACAATTTACTGAGTGAATCATCGAGCACCTCTTCTCTGCCTGACCACATCGAAGTGGCGACAACTGCAAGTGAGCTGGAACTACCCAATCTTCTGCTGCCGCGCCCACACCTGGGCAGTCTGGTGGCCCTAGAGGAAGTGACCCGTCCCCATGAGCGTTTCCTCTTGCTGGGCGGCATCACGGGATTTCTGGAGCACATGAAACAGCACAAGATAACCCCCGATATACAGACCTTCACGACCATGCTAGAGGTGATCCCTCCCACCAACTCTGCTGAGAAGCAGCTCCTCACATTCGTCCGCAAGATTGGCCTGAAGGCAGACATAGACTTTTTCAATATACTGATCAAAAAGCGATCGATGCGCTTTGACTACGACAGTGCCCGCGAAGTTCTTTCCATGATACGCACTGCAGGATTACGTCCGGATATCGTTACCTATGGCGTGCTCGCCCTGGGTTGCCGAACCCAGGAGGAAGCGAGGGAACTGTTGCTGCAAATGCAGGAGGCTGAAATTAAAATGAACATGCCCATACTAGGAGCCATGTTGCGCCAGGGCTGTGCCCAGAAGTCCTTCGGCTACATCAATGAAATCATGCAACTAAGCCTGGAAGAGGGCGTCAAGCCCAACGAGCCATTCCTCCGTCATCTGCACAACTTTCACAGAGGATGCGCCCGGGCTATTGATGCCAGGGTGAGTTGAGTATTTGGAGGACATGCCCTGAGAAATCTACTAAGCCGTTCAATATTTCCACCCACAGCACCCTTCGACCAAGACGCCCACTTTTAAGAAGGGACACTCGAAGTTCTGTGATAAGTACCGCCTGTACTACGAAGAGCAGGGCCTGACTGGCCTTCAGCTGGAAGATGCCATTGCCAAGATAAAGGTACGCCCCTATGCCAAGTATAAGGAGGCAGCCGTGGACGGTCTGGAACCACTCAAGCACGAGCAGGTCAAGCGAAAAACAAAGCTGAGGAAATATATTAAGAAAATCAAGATCGATGAGCTGCAGGATGACCCTCCAAGAGAGTTCATCAAGAAGATAGAATAGGTTTACGATGTAGGTTTTATTAAAGATTATTTTTGTTAGCCAATCATCGTTCGCTTACGTCCGCGTGCCCGTACTTCCTCGAACTTGTCGAGAACAATGTCCCCCTCCCTGCCACACTGCATGCGGTAGCCAGCCAGGATTTGTTCGAAGAGATAGGGCTGCTCGCTGTGCGTGCTCAGCAGGGCCCGCTCCAGAACGTACAGATCCACGCCCTTGCGCTCGGCGCCCTTGTCGTAGTGACTCAAACCGAAATCAATGAACACGATATCGTACTTGTTCTCCTGGGGATCGATTAGGATGTTTGATGTGGTCAGGTCGCCATGTATGATGTGGTCAGTGTGCATTCTGCCAACGATCACGCCGATTCTCCAGCACAGATCCAGCAGTAGCTTCTTCGCCTCGTCCGCCTCCTTGGTGGCAACCGTTTCCTGGATGAACTCCTTGGCTGTCTTGGCATTGGCATAGTATTCTATATACAAGGTGTGTGCGGGGTAGTCCAGGTGAAGTACTTTCGGGACCAACACGCCGGCAGCCAGACAACGTGCGGCCGTCTTCATCTCTGCCTTCATGCGACGTCGGGTGATTTGTTTGTCTAGCTCTGGGTGGCGGTACTTCTTGACAAAGCGTTCCTTAATCAAGCAGGTTTCTCCCTGGTATTCGCCAAGGTAGAGGCGCGCCTCGGCTCCTTGTTTTAAAATTTCGCTGGGCATTTTTTTGACGAAAACAACTCAAATCCAAAAAAAAGTAAAAGCAGGCACACTCACGGCGCAACGCACCCAGTTGCCATTCGCAGCGCCAACAGCTGATCTGATTTACTGTTTACTTCGATGTTTCGATATGCACCAACTTTTGCGTGATTCATAGGACAAAAAGAAATCCACAGCCTTACAAATTTTTGCGCGTCGTAGTCGACCATTATTCCATGTTCTAAAAATGTTCAACAACATATTCGGCAAGAAACCCACGGTCAAGGAGCAGCAGCGCGAAAATGACAGATCATTGAAGAAGGCCACGCGCGACATTGAACGCGAGCGTCGCAAATTGGAGGAGGAGGAGAAAAAACTGGAGGCTGACATCAGACGCAACGCAGCTGCTCGAAATAACGACGCTTGTCGCATTCTGGCCAAGCAGCTGGTGGAGATACGGAAGCAGAAGTCGCGCAGCTACGCGGCGGCTGGAAAGATCCAATCCATTGGCTTCCAGAACAAGAATATGGGCGCCAACATAGCGCTGGGTGAGGCAATGGGAACCACGGCCAAGACCATGGCAGATATGAACAAGGTGATGCGACCCGAGGCGATTGCGGGAACAGTGCGCGACTTCCAGGCGGCGAATATGAAGATGGAAATGACAGATGAGATGATCAACGACACACTGGACGACATGCTTAACGAGTCGGGTGACGAGGAAGAGTCAAATGCGGTGGTGAACAAAGTCCTCGATGAGATCGGCATTGAGGTCTCTGGAAAGATGTCCAATATTCCAGCCACTGGCAGCGCAGACTTCGAGACGAGCGGCAAGCGCACTGAGAAGGACATTGCCGACCAGCTGGCCAAGCTGCGATCCTCCTAGACCACCATTACATTACACTGCATCACTTTTTTGTATATTATTGTGAACACGGCTGTTATCCATAGCCTCTAAGGAAATATATTTATGTAAATCACTTAAAGACGAGCACTCATACCACCTCCGGCCACGATGGCCTCGCCCGTTATGTAGGCGGCATCCTCGCTCACCAGGAACGAGACCACGCCAGCCATCTCCTCGCTGGTGCCCAGACGGCCCATCGGAATTTTCATGAGAGCCGCATCATTCGCTGACTCATCTTCGTATAGGGCTTTGGAGAACTTTGTCTTGATAATGCCGGGGGCCAGGCAATTGACGCGAATGCCCTCTGGCGCCAAATCTTTAGCGGCAGCCTTGGTGAGGCCGATGAGAGCCGTCTTGCTGACGGAGTATGCACCCAGCAGCTGCAACGATAAGGAGGTTGAGATAAGCCACTAACCCATGGATAAGTCCAGTCATACTAACCTCAAAGGCATCGTAACCTGCAATGGACGAGACAAAGACAATGCTGGAGCCCTTCTCCTGCCGCAGAAATGGCAGCGCCTCCTTGGCTAGCAGATACGAGCTCTTAACATTGACATCGAAGATCTTGTCCCAGACCTTCTCATCGCAATCCAGGACTCCACCTACGGCGGGGTTTGTGGCAGCGTTGCTAACTAATATATTGAGCTTTCCGTACTTGCTGATGGTTTCATCGAAGAGCTGTTTGCGATCCTGCGGCTCGCTCACGTGACATTTCAGGCCGTGCACATTCAGATTCAATTTGCGCAGCTCCGCCAGGGCATTGTCCACGTTCTTTTGCTTGCGACTGCTGATGACCACGGCGGCTCCATCTTCTGCTAGCCGTTTGGCAATAGCAAAGCCGATACTACGAAAGGAACAGAACATATATTATTCAATTAGTTGACAAAAGTGGCAAGGCAAGGCAGATCTAAAATTTGAGGTATTTTGTTCTCTCTCACCCATCGGTGGAGGCGGTGACCACGGCAACTTTCCCTGCTAAACGCTTCATTTGGTTGACGCTTGAACTTTGACTACTGCTGGACAAGCGCTTATGGGTAAGATTATGGTTAACAAGCTTTTGATCGGGTTTGTTGTTGGTTTGATTAAGATTTCTGGTGGCACTTTGGACTCCGGCCCCAGTCACAGTGGTGCTGGCACTCAAGTGGAGCTTTGGCGCTCTACCAAGAAACTGCTTGCCGAGATGAAACATTTTCAAGAAACGAGATTCCGAGTTTAGTTAAAGATATTTGTTGCTTAACAATTCATTTTTTCCTATATCAACTATCAACTGTAAACTGCGTTCGTTAGTTGGTAATCGAATCGCGAAGGCTGGATTTGCCATTCAAAGTGAAACCATAAGTTTTTGTTTTGGATGGAGCCTCTTTTAAAATGACTGAAAGCTTGCACAGGCAGGGGGCTTAAATTTCTCATGGTTTCTGGATGGAGCTTTGGCGCCCAGCTTACCCACGTAAAACATTAAAGATACGAGAGTCTAGTCTAGAGAGTATAGTTCGAGATATTTTTTGTTTAACAATTGATTTTTCCTATATCAACTATCAACTGTAAACTGTGTTTTGGATTTGCCATTCACGGGGAAATCAAAAGTTTTTGTTTTTGATCGGCGCTTTTTTTGAAATGACTGAAAGCTTACACGGGAAGGTGCTTAAATGTCTCATGATTTCTGACTAATGTGTAGCTTAATAGTATATAAATAAGTTTAAATGCGATAGCCCATTAATACAAAGATAGAAATTTATTGATTCATTAATGTACTAAGAATATCCGACTCCCTTTCCCAGACAGTCATCTCAGTCATCGGTAGATAACAAATTTTGAAAAGAAAATCTGAAGCAGGGGAAGATAAACGTTCCGTAACGTTTCGTAATGCCATATAAACAAAGATAAATAATTATGACAAGCAAACACGAGTAGCAACGGAATAATGAGAGCGAGTGAGAATCGGTTCACATGCTATAGTACTACTTCAACTCGGATGTGGTGTTCCGAAATCAGTCCCTATGCCATACATAGCATATACATATGTACAAGCATACTCGTATAGAGTGCTTCCCAGCCGAATGTGCGAATTAATAAGCCGTCGGAGCAGCTTCAGCTTCACGATCCACTCTAGATGTAGGCCCTAGCACTAGCACTAGCACTAACAGTTGCCGACAGTTGCCCAGAGTCGCTTCTCGTGTGCAAGCGGTGTTCATATAGGTCTGGTTCCGATCGTCTCCGTCTCCGGCACGCGGTAACGGCTTTCGTGTTCGCCAACGTCGGCGAAGCATGTGATAAAAGAAAAACCTTTAGTCTAGCATAATACATTTGACTAACGCGATCTACTAAGCATCTACTACTGCCAAGAACGTACATTTATTCGAAAAATGGGCGATCAGGCTAAGGAAATTGAAGCAGCAGCCACACCCATTCTGCAGGACTTCAAGGCCCCCGTGTTTACGGACAATAAGCTCGTGCTCTACTTCCATCCCTACAACTTCTATTCACAAAAAGTTAGTGGCTGATGTTAATCATGTGATATCCGACAAAATTAGTTATCATCCAATGGCGCGAAATTACAAAACTAATCATCGCGTAGTTGTCGTCATCATTTGTTCTGATCTGATCATTGCCCGATGCTATTTACCCTATAATGACCGCACACACACTGTGACCCCCTCCCCCGAGGGTGCTTCAAGGTTCCACCCACTATGCACTACGATACGCCCTTCCCTTCCCTTTCAAGTGGGGCAAGGGAAGGTCTGTTCGGCTTCGAATGCAATAGAGCTGGATTGTTGTAATCGTAGCAAAGTTTTCAGAAATTGGTATTATGACACCATTGGAATTGATCTTTGTTTACCTGTACCTGTCCGCCGCCCTGCAGGTGTTAATGAAGTGAAAATATAAATAGATTAGATGGAAAATAAACAAAACTTCTTCAGCCAGTGAAATACGATATGATAAATCTTCTCTTTCCACTTTTCCGTTTCGTTTGCAGGTTCTCCTGGTGCTCTATGAGAAAAACATTGACTTCACTCCCTATGTGGTAGACTTATGCAATGGCGAGCAGTATTCCAGTTGGTTCCTAAACCTCAATCCCAAGGGAGATGTTCCCGTTCTCCAGGATGGAGCCTTCATCATACCCAACTCGACGCACATAATCAACTATGTGGAGAGCAAGTTCCGGGGAGGTAGCACGGTAACATGAGTATATGCCACAAATGGATTCAAAATTTCCCTTTCATTTCAGCGAATCATCCAGTGCTGAAGCCCGAACAGAGTTCCTCACAGTACGACCAGGTAATGGTCTATGAGAATGCCGTGGGACGTGTGCCAGTGGGAGCTCTGAGTCTTGGCTCGTTCGTCCACGATGATCTAAAGCTGGTGCCCAAGGCGCCATTTATTGGGCCAGTTCGCCAATCCTGCCTAAGTGAGTGGCCCAGCAGTTGCATTAAACTCTAGCCATGGCCAATGATTCTGCTTCTTTTAGAGAATAACGACAAGGTCCTGGACCTGCTCCGGCGCTCTGTGGATGAGCTGGAATCGAACAAGTCGGCGCTGAAGCAAAAGCTGGACATTCAGATTCGTCGCAAGGATCTGGTGTCCTGCCGTGACGACTTTCAGCGCGTGCTCGATGCCGTACGTCATGTGCTGCTCTATGTGGAGCAAGAGCTGTCCAAAAAGGCACCCCGCAACGAGTGGCTGACCGGGGACGAGGTCACCCTGGCGGACATCAGCTTCGGACTGCTCCTGCATCGCCTCTACCAGCTGGGATTTGAGAACTATTACTGGTCCTTCGGTAAGCTGCCCCAGGTGGAGGGATATTTTCTGCGCTTCAAGCAGCGCCAGTCGTACCACAAGCTGCAGCCCAGCAATTTCGAGATCCTCAAGGAGATGTGGGCGAAGACGCCGGGAAACTACAAGCTGGGCGCAGGAGCCGGCTTCCTGGGTATGGCCATGTTCGCAGCATTTGCTCATAAGTGAACGGCAGATACGTTTGTTAACAAATCCTTTTACTGTTAAAGTTGGTCACATATAAACGCACGAACATAAGAACGCTAAACGCTTAACGCTTAAAGCTACTACGTGGTAACCAGATGGCTGACGCTGATGCTGATGCTGATGCAGGGGTATGGGATGATGAAGAGAAAGTAGAGGAGAAGAGAAGAGGGATGAACCATGTGCCAGCCAGTGTCTAGCTGCTAAAATATCATAATTTACATAAGCATCATTCGAACGTTGAATATACAAAAAATTTGGTATAAATTCCAATCCGTCACCTAATTGTCAATTCCTGCTATGCTTGTTTAAGCCTCCGGGGACGATGATTTCACGAGGATCGTCCTTTGGGGCTCAGCTATCTGCTCCAAACTGCTGCTGCTGTTGCTGCTCTCGCTTCTGCTGCGCTGATTGAAGCAAGCTTGCTGCGGCAGTGGCCACCTTCGGGCTGGTGAACAATGGCATGCCCATGAATGTTGGCATCTGCTGATCCTTGGGCACATTCGTCGCTCCCACTTTGCCATTGGGATTTGCTCTCATGGGGCCAGAGGCTCCACTGGCGGAGGTCGTACCAGATAAATGCGAGGGACGCTTGAATGGAAAGACATGGGTCTCCCTCTGGTAGAAGAAGGTGCCGTTTCCGGGCTCTTCTGGCAAGAGGCCGCGCGTGGGATACCAGAAGCGATACGTGAAGTACCAGGTCAGGATGGCTATAATGCCGCTTATGACCTTCTCAATCATGCGGTGGTAGTAGAGCATGGTTCCCACCAGCATTATGTCCCAGAGCAGCTGCAGAGCGGCCATGCCGATGAACAGGGTCCGGATGATGGGCGTTAGTCGTTTGTAGAGGAACTGCAGGCTCCTCATCTGCTCGTCGTTCAGGCCTCGAAGGGGATTGGTGCCCGCATTTTCGGAAACGCTGCGATTGTGCATCTCGTTGCGGAGGTGCTCCTTGATGGTCTCCCACTTGATGATGGGACGGGCCTCCTCGATGAGCACCAGACTAGAGTGAATCAGGATGAAAGCATGGCCGGATATGTCGAAGCCTTGCCACAGATGTCCGGCCTTAAGGCAGCTCGGCTTGCTCTGGAAGCCTGGTTTCGGAACAGGAAGAAGAAGGTTTCGTTAACCCTGCTAATCCTGATAACCGTTTTCAATACTAACTTTTGACCGTGCAGCGGCCGTAGGAAGTTTCCACAATGTTGAAGAGCTTCGTCCAGAAAAACCAAAAGAATGTGGCTATGACAATGCGAGGGAAGTGATGCCTGAGCATTCGCTTGTGATCGCCGCAGGTGATCGTATAGGCAGACAGAACTAGGAAGGGCACCACAAACAGCAGAGTCCAGCCCCAGCCTACCTTCACGAAGTACATGTTGAATAGATTGTCCGAGCGTGCGAAGTAGGTCTTTGGGAAGGGGACAAAGTCCCCAATGACCGATACCACGAACAGGCTGCCCAAGTAGAGTGCCACCTTGAGGTCCGTGTTGAAGAATATCGTTTTCTTACACAAATGTATTACTCCCATGACTAGAATCTCTCTGATACTAGTGGGGGCTGCTGTAGGTCTAGTGCCCCTAGCCTCGGACCGAGTTATGTCCGGACCCCCAGGTCGAAAGTTCATGTTTGATCCAGAACTTGTTCCAATGTTCGGACGCAGCGGTCGCCGTTTGGTGGCCATAATTCGATTTAGATTTCGTTGACGCTTGTTGCTGTCTTGCGGCGCTGGGGTTTGCACTTGGTCAAGGTGGGAAATGCGTTGTTGCTGCCGTTTTTGGTTATGCTAAAGCGCGAGAGAGAGAGAGAGTAAAAGTGAAAGCGGAAGCATGGTGCGTGTCAAAGTTCATACAGTCCTGGGCAACATTACCTTCGATGCACTGTTCGAAAGTGGATTTCATTAATTTCAGTGATATTTATATCCACTGTCACATCAGTTATGGTATCCACTGTCGTTGCTCCTAGTTGTTTTTCGCTGACATACGTTCCAACCAAAAATCTACGTGCGCGCAGCTGTTGCGCCCCCGTAAAAAATAGAACAGTTGCACAGGTATTGACGACGTCCCGCGAATAGCCATCTATATGTCGACGCTTCATTGTGAATGGCTGTTGCGGATCAGCTGTTCGAGTAGAGATTTTATCTGATCGTATCTCTGTTTTAATTGCCGGTCGCATGTAATTAACTCGAATTCCAATACAATTTTGGCATGTACAACTCGGCCAAGCAGTTGCAGCGTGTGCTGACGGCGCGCGAGATTCGAAAAACATTCATAGACTTCTTCACCGTCAACCATGAGCACAAATTCGTGCGCTCCAGCCCCGTGGTGCCCTTCTGTGATCCGACGGTGGCGTTTGTCAACGCTGGCATGAATCAGGTGAGCAGGGCATAGAATAGAGCGGCGCGGCTCGGCCCGGCCCAACGACCTATTAGTCCATTGTTATCTGATTATTGCTTTTCGTTAAGTTCAAGTCTGTGTTCCTTGGCACGGCGGCGGCTCCCCACAAGCGGGTGGTGAATTCCCAGAAATGCGTACGGGTGGGAGGAAAACACAACGATCTCTCTGTGGTCGGCCAGGATGGCTATCACCACACGTTCTTTGAGATGCTGGGCAACTGGTCCTTTGGGGACTACTTCAAGGTATTTTCTGGTTTGCTTTAACTGGCAGATTTCCCTAATTCTCTTGCAAAATTCTGTAGCAAGAGGCCTGCGCTATGGCCCTTGAGCTGCTCCGCGGGCCATACAACATCGATCCTGGACGTTTGTATGTCACGTACTTCGCTGGCGACAAGCTGCTGGGCATACCGGCGGATATGGAATGTTTCGAGATTTGGCGCAGCCTGGGGTACAACTTGTTACATAATCCAAGAGCATCATCTCTTTGACTGCGCATGTTCTTTTAGCTTTCCCGCCTCGCGTATTCTGCCCTTTGGCTGCAAAGACAACTTCTGGGAAATGGGCGCTACTGGACCCTGCGGCCCCTGCACTGAGATACACATAGACCATCGTCCAGAGCTGGGCAGCGTCGCGGATCGCGGTAAGCTCGTAAATGCAGGCCGCTCGGATCTCACAGAGCTGTGGAATCTCGTCTTCATACAGTACAATCGGTGAGGACAGGACAGAGACAGAGCTTAAATTATAGTCATTAATCGAAACGTATATTTGGGCAATCTAGCAATCCCGATGGCAGCATCTCCCAGTTGCCCGCTCACCATGTGGACACGGGCATGGGATTTGAGCGTTTGGCTGCCATTCTGCAAAGCAAATCCTCAAACTACGACACGGACCTGTTCAGCCCGCTCTTCGATGGCATTCAGCAGCTGTCCAAGGCCCCAGTCTATGGCGGCAGCTTCCCAGAAACCTCAAATGCAGCTCTCCTGGACACAAGCTACAGAATACTTGCCGATCATGCTCGCATGGTCACTGCCTGCCTTGCCGATGGAATGCTGCCAGATCAGAAGTAGGCTACCACCCTATAACGCCTTATTCCTACACTAATCCAAACCCATTTGCAGTCAGAAACTACGACGCGTCTTGCGGAAGGCCCTCAACATCTCGGAGCATGTTTTTGCCCATGAAAAGCTGCTCTCCCAATTGGTTCCTATTGTGGTGGAGACTCTGGGCGAAGCCTACCCGGAGATGTCTGCCAAGCAAGAGGCAGTCATCGATCTGATTAATCACGAACATGACGTGTACAAGAATCTGCGTGAGAGCTCCTCGAAAGCCTTTGCCGAGGTCCTGACCGAGTTCCCCAATCTGGACGACATTGACTTGATGGAATGCCCAGGATTTGTTCCCGCCTATCGGGAGTTCCAGGTGCAGCGCAGCAAGTTCCCTAACAACACGATTCCCGGCGACTTCCTCTACAAGCTGACGGACACCTATGGCTTGACCGAAGAGAGCTTCCTCAAGCTGGCCGAGCTGGAGAACATGAACTGTGATTTGGACCGTTATCGAGCAGAGGTCTCGCTGGCCAAAATCAAGTCCAAGGAGAGCCAACGCGAGGACGGGGGCATCTGCGATGTGGCGCTAGAACAACGCATTTCTGAGGCTCAGGCGACGCTTACAAAGCGCCTGCGACCCACAGACAATAGTCACAAATATGTCTATTCCTTTGATAGCGAGAATGAATCCTACAAGATTCCCACTCTACGCAGTCGAGTGGTAGGCATGCTACTCAACGATGCGGAAGTATCACGCACCCAAGGCAGCCGGCTCCAGGACACCTCCGATACCCTTTCAATTGTCACCGCCGCCAGCAATTTCTACTACGAGTCTGGCGGACAACAGTCCGATGCTGGCCAGATTCTTGTCAGCAATGCGCACAAGCCGGAGCAACCGCACCATCTCTTGAATGTGATCCGTGTGAAGCATCTCAATGATTGCGTGGTTCACGTGTGCCGCTTGGCCGCCCCCGCAGATGACCACTTTGAGGTGGCCATTGGTGATGAAGTTGAGCTGCAAGTGGATTCTGGAACAAGGCAACTGAACACATGCCATCACACAGCCACTCACCTGCTGAATGCCGCCATCCGATCGCTGTTCAACAAGGTCACCTACCAGGTCTCCAGCTCCGTCACCAGCGAGCAGTGCAAACTGGAACTGGGATTGCTGGGCAAGCGGATACAAAAAGCAGATGTCCAGCTCATCGAAGATCTGATCAAGTAAGTCCCACTGGATTCTCTCTTGGCAGTGTCTTCACCTTGTTTCACCTTTCGTACAGTCGAATTATCTGCTCTGCCACGACCGTCCAAGTTGAACTTGTGAGTGCCGCCGATGTTCTCCAGGAGAATGATATTACGATGGTGCCTGGGGAGGTTTACCCGGAGCAGGGACTGCGTCTGATCAGTGTGCAGTGCCCAGATATGCAGCTTAGTTCCAAGGAGCTGTGCTGCGGCACTCATGTGACCAACACCAGCGAGCTCTCCTGTTTCTGTATTGTCAATTTAAAGCAGACAAACAGGGCGCGCTTTGCCTTCACCGCTGTGGCTGGCCAGGCGGCGGAGAATGTAAGTGGCTTTAGATGGAACAATGTTCATCTGTAAGCATCCTTTTGCTTATCTCTTTTAGGTGCTCAAGACAGCAGCCTTGCTGCGCCATCGCGTAGATATGCTCGAACAACAGTTCCAGACTGATAAGCTCACAAATGCCACCGAAGTAGAGTTGCAGACCATCCGCCATAATATGCTGCACACGGACATCAAGCTGCCATATGCCTTCAAAATGGACACGCTGGAACGCATCCATGACATGCTGAAGAGGATCAAGGAGACATCCCGCACAACCCTCAAGTGAGAGCAAATAGAGAGAGAGCATTAGAGGAGTGCAGATTATACATCCATATTCTTGCAGGGAATTTGTCGAAGTAGAGATGCGCAACCTGCTGCAGGAGAAACCTGTGGACACCCACCCCTTTATTTTGCACTACATAACCAGCTCCGCTTTGGTGGAAGAGATCCCCCTGCAGCGCGCCACCAAGCTCTGTTCGGATCGCCCCATTCTGGTGGTCAGTATGTGTGATAGCGTTGTGAAAGCACGCTGCTGTGTACCGCAGAACAGCGTCAACCAAGAGTTCGATGCGTCCTCCTGGCTGCAATCTTTTGCCGCCACATTTGGGGGTCAAGTGGCCGCGCCCAAGGGACAGAATCCGAAGATCGTGTGTAACATGAAGGGCCGTAAGGTAAGCAATCTCTTTGAAGAGCAATTGGAGCAGGCCCTGGCGAAGGCCCATCAGTATGCTAAGCTTTATTTCAAGTTGTGATCACCCTCCCCAAAAAATAAGAAGAGATAAGCGCAAGCTCCAAGATTTGCTGTGGAATCGTTTCCTTTTTTTTTTTGTAAAGAGCGAATAAATCGCACACTATAAACTGTAAGCCTAATCACTGATTACCACCAAATCATCTTCCTCCTCCTCATCCCCTTCTGCCTGCTCTTGGATTCCCAGGCTGGAGTTCATCAACTGCTCGAAGGCATCGGCATTATCACTGCTTTGATTGAAGAAGTAGCTCACGTTTGCAGCAGGCTCGACAGCAGGCTGTGGAAGATGCTCACTTATGCGATGCTGGTGCTTGAAGCGGTCCACGGGAGTCCTAATTGGCTGTATCAAGTGGGGAACCTTCTTAAGATCGCCCTTCACCAGCAGATCAAAGCTATCGTCCAGAGAGAGACGCTTGCTCTGCGGCAGGTGCTCGACCAGCGAGAGATCCCTTTTGTGTTCAGCAACTGGAGGTAGAGGCTCCTCCTGGAGCTCATCCTTCCTTAGACTCAGTTGGGCCAGACGCATGCTCAGGTCGTCGGATAAGGCCTCGTAGTGCAACTGTCGTCCTTCGTGTCTTGTCACAGTTGGTCGAGCATTCGGATTCGATATGATTCCATTGACTACATCGGACATGTCGAACTCTACCTCGTCGCAGTCGCTTTCGAGATCCGAAGGCAAGAATTTGGTGATGGGTGTGGAGCATTTCTGTGGCAATTGTGCCATTTGTGGCAGAGAATTCTTCACAGGAGTCCCCCCTATTTTCTCCCGTCTGAGGAATTGTTGCAGTGAAGGCTGAGACTGCTCCGTTTGAGCCTTTTTCTTTTTGACCACTCGCTTCGGTTTCGCTGGGTTCGCCTTCTGCTTATCTAATGTTTCTGGGATGTTCTCGATGGCGCTCAGGGGATCGGTCTTCTTCTTTCGCGTGGCCTTCTTCGGGGGCTTCTCCTTGGATTTGAGAAAGGATGCCACGAGATCGGGATACGCAGCTTCCAGCATGTCCAGCGGCTCCACGGTATAGTAGAGCTCTTCGATGCCCTTGGGATGTTCCAGCTCGAACTCTGAAATCTGTTTGTCTGGTATGAGTCCCTGGAAACTGCCACTGGGATCCTGCCAGCGCAGCTCCAAACTGGCCACTCCCTTCACGGTACGCTTCTTGATGATATCCACCGGCTGAACGAGCTCCAATCGTTCTATCGCATTGGTCCTGGCCGCCTGCTGCACCTGCCAACGGGTGAGGATCGGAAAGAACTTCTGAAAGCAGTAGATTTCCGGCCACTGCAGCAGATGCCCTATCTGCTTGATGAATTTCACGAGATTCGGCTGCCGCCAGCCAAGATTTAGATTTGGTATCGTTGGGGGCTCGCTGAGAAACTCGGATATTATCTCCTCGTTGGGAAACTCTGGAGCCAACAAGGCCTTTCGGCGTAGGATCAGCTCCGCCTTAATGGAAAGGCGTTGTTCTCTGCGGGGGAGCAACGAATCGTATCAACTTTTATATTTTTGTATTCTAGATAGGTCTTACTTCCACAAGGTCTCGTCACAGCCCCGTTTAGTGCGACAGACGCTACAGCCGCTCTTCGTGTGGCTCTGCGTCCGCCCAATGTGTCCGCAGTTGCTGCAGATGGATTTGTCATCCACCCGCATCTCCAGAGCATTGTACTTATCTGTCTCGGCTCGCCAGTTCCTCAACCTATAAGGAGAATGCATTAATCTGTTTGAGAGTAGCTTTGCTCTTTAGCTTTACCGATCCAGGATCTCCGATTCCTTGTACTTGTTGAACAGTTTTAGGACACCATCTTTGCCAATACCCCCAATGCCATCTGGACAGTAGTCACAGCCGCATAGAAGAGCCATCACAATAATCTTGTGCTGGCCAAAATCCATGCGGCTCGTAATCTCCCGCATGTCGTAGATATCAACAGCACCCCCAGCGGCAGCCTGGGCCCCTTGGGTGGACACTGAGAAGTTGCGATACACCCGTATAGCACCGTAGGCAAAGCAATCCGAATCCTGGCTAATGACGCCATCCACCAACTGGAAGAGTTTGTAGTTCAAATTGATAGGTCAATTAATGAAAAGCATGGAGAACAGAACATACTCCGTGCTTGTTGAGGAAGGCAGCGTAGGCCTCCGCTTCGCCTGGGCCTTGGACACACTGAATTCCCATTGAGAGCAGCAGAGTCTCGCACTGTTTCAGGACATGGTTGAAGCGGGTCCGTCCTTTGTCTACTTTTGCAGCAGTTTGCGTGCCAGTGGCTGCATCCTTGGGTCTTACTCCTCGAAACTGCAGCTCATTTCGTTTGGTAATCACTTGGCCCTTCAGTTTCGGAGCCACTCCCTCCAAAACGAACACTGGAGTGACTTGCTCCCATATAAGGTAGCAGGTGCGAAAGAAAAGGTTTCTGAAAAGAATTAGCCATTAGCTATCAGATCAATACAAAGAACTTTCAGTCCAGTGAGAATTTAACCAACTTTAGATGATGCCGCGGATGCACAAAATAGTCGACCACATTCAGACTTTCGCACACCCAGCCGGCCAAATCAATGGCCACTTTCTTGCCGCGAAGCTCATTTATCGGCTTGCGCTCAGCATGAGGGGTTAAAACTGTCCAAAGTTCTTTTACACCCATAAAACAATGAAACAATGAACAATGAAACAATATTCTAAATTCAAATTCAAAAGAACGCTCTTCTTTTGCCTGTATAGCCAATCACTACGCAACGCGACCGATAGGTCGCATTTTGACAGCTGTGGTCAGTCCTCCTCTTCCAGAACGACCACTGGTGACATTTAAATTGAGGTATATTAGCGGTATGTTTTGAAAATGAGAGTGTTTTTTTGTTAAACAGTTTTGTTGAAACCGTGTTTTTGTCAAAATAAAACACATGCGAGTACCTAAAAGTAGTTAATTCTGATCAAAATTGATTCATCAATCATATAAAATTATCTGGGCAAAACTGAAAGATCTATATAGCTGGGAATATTGGACGGAAGATCGGAAAATCGAGGAATATGTAAAATATAACTTAAATTCGTCAGAATATTTACGGTATATTTTTTAAATGAGACGGTATGTTTAGGTATATTTCTGACGGTCGGACGGTATATTTTATCGATAAGTCCACATCGACGTGTCAAAGACCAAAAGTAAAAGTTTCCTGCAATTTCGCATGAATTTGCTTCGCAAGTAGCCCAACTAAATTTGTAAGCTGCCAATAGCACACCCCGACACACGGCCAACACGCCAAGATGGTTTTAGCAGATTTAGGAAGAAAAATAACAACGGCTCTGCACTCGCTGAGCAAAGCCACAGTTATCAATGAGGAGGCATTGAATTCCATGCTGAAAGAGATTTGCGCAGCGCTGCTGGAGGCTGATGTAAACATACGACTGGTGAAGCAGCTGCGGGAAAATGTGCGAGCTGTCATTGACTTCGATGAGATGGCCGGAGGCTTGAACAAGCGACGCATGATCCAGTCGGCCGTGTTCAAGGAGCTCATCAAACTGGTGGATCCGGGCGTGAAGCCCTATCAGCCCATTAAGGGAAAGGCGAACATCATCATGTTTGTGGGTCTGCAGGGATCCGGCAAGACCACAACCTGCACCAAGCTAGCCTATCACTACCAGAAGCGCAACTGGAAGTCGTGTCTTGTCTGCGCCGATACGTTCCGTGCTGGTGCCTATGACCAGATCAAGCAGAACGCCACCAAAGCTCGCATTCCGTTCTACGGCAGCTACACAGAAATCGATCCCGTTGTCATAGCCCAGGAGGGTGTGGACATGTTCAAGCGTGAGGGTTTTGAGATGATTATTGTGGATACTTCCGGACGACACAAGCAGGAAGAGTCGCTGTTCGAGGAGATGTTGGCGGTTGCAAATGCAGTCAATCCTGACAACATCATCTTCGTGATGGACGCCACCATTGGACAGGCTTGCGAGGCCCAGGCGAAGGCCTTCAAAGACAAGGTTGACATTGGCTCAGTGATCATCACCAAGTTGGATGGCCATGCCAAGGGAGGTGGTGCCCTGTCTGCTGTAGCAGCCACACAGTCGCCCATAATTTTCATAGGAACGGGCGAGCACATTGACGACCTGGAACCCTTCAAGACGAAACCTTTCGTTAGCAAGCTCCTCGGCATGGGCGACATCGAGGGCCTGATAGATAAGGTAAGAGTGGGCTCCAAATGGTTAAACATGTTCCTAACTATATTGCAATCCTTCCCAGGTCAACGAGCTGAAACTAGACGGAAATGAAGAGCTTCTCGAGAAGATAAAGCATGGCCATTTTACAATACGCGACATGTACGAGCAGTTCCAGAACATCATGAAAATGGGTCCTTTCTCGCAGATCATGAACATGATCCCTGGCTTCTCGCAGGACTTTATGACAAAGGGCGGCGAGGCGGAATCGATGGCTCGCATCAAGCGAATGATGACCATGATGGACAGTATGTCGGACAACGAATTGGACAACCGTGATGGAGCGAAACTCTTCATCAAGCAGCCGACGCGTTGTACACGTGTAGCCCAAGGAGCAGGAGTCCTGGAACGCGAAGCCAAGGAACTGATTGCCCACTACACAAAGTTTGCAGCAGTCGTGAAGAAAATGGGCGGCGTCAAGGGTCTCTTCAAGCAGGGCGACATGACCAAGAATGTGAACCCCACACAGATGGCCAAGCTCAACCAGCAGATGGCCAAAATGATCGATCCCCGCATGCTTCAGCAGATGGGCGGCGTGGGCGGACTCCAGAACATGATGCGGCAGCTGCAGCAAGGAGCGGCGGGCGGCCTGGGTGGACTGGGGAACCTGATGGGAGGCTTTGGCGGCAAGTGAGGCCAGCCGCGAGTGTAAATTTATAGATTTTTGTATGATTTTGTTTCTACGTAGTTCGGTTTTTAGCAATATGTTTGTTAACGGTTGGCCAGTGCCAGTGCATTGGGCCAGTGCGTCAATTTCCCCTTGTTCAAGACCAAAAAATTTAGATCGGTGTGAGAGCGAGAACGTGAGCGTGAGCGAGAGCGAGAGAGAAGACAGCGCATAAACAGTTAACAATTTGGTTTTTTGTACGATTTGGCAACCACAGTGTCAGTTTTCATTGTTTCAACTGTTTTCTGTACACGAATTACTGGAAATTGCATGCCTATTGAATACCGCAAGGCAGTTGAAATAGATATAACACAAATAAATAACATGAATTAATCTTTTTAAATGATTTTTAATTTGAGAGGGCTGAAACCGAGACTGCCCATGATTTTTTGCGAAAATCGTGATATAAAACTAATGTCCTTTTTTCAGTATTTTCATGATATGGCAATCTTCGGAAGGCTATATCTCAGATAAATAGGGCCCCATCGGTGAAGGACCTAGTCCTTTTTTCCAATGGCAGTCGATTGGCAGGACAATCCCGAGCACGGAAAGACATGCCGCACCCCGATCGGCTGCCGTATTGCAGAGATATAGCGTGCAGAAGAAACCAGTATTTTCATGATATGCCAATCTTCGGAAGGCTATATCTCAGATAAATAGGGCCCGATCGGTGAAGGACCTAGTCCTTTTTTCCAATGGCAGTCGATTGGCAGGACTCTCCCGAGCACGGAAAGACATGCCGCACCCCGATCGGCTGCCGTATTGCAGAGATATAGCGTGCAGAAGAAACCAGTATTTTCATGATATGCCAATCTTCGGAAGGCTATATCTCAGATAAATAGGGCCCCAACGGTGAAGGACCTAGTCCTTTTTTCCAATGGCAGTCGATTAGCAGGACTCTCCCGAGCACGGAAAGACATGCCGCACCCCGATCGGCTGCCGTATTGCAGAGATATAGCGTGCAGAAGAAACCAGTATTTTCATGATATGCCAATCTTCGGAAGGCTATATCTGAGATAAATAGGGCCCCATCGGTGAAGGACCTAGTCCTTTTTTCCAATGGCAGTCGATTGGCAGGACTCTCCCGAGCACGGAAAGACATGCCGCACCCCTATCGGCTGCCGTATTGCAGAGATTTAGCGTGCAGAAGAAACCAGTATTTTCATGATATGCCAATCTTCGGAAGGCTATATCTCAGATAAATAGGGCCCGATCGGTGAAGGACCTAGTCCTTTTTTCCAATGGCAGTCGATTGGCAGGACTCTCCCGAGCACGGAAGGACATGCCGCACCCCGATCGGCTGCCGTATTGCAGAGATATAGCGTGCAGAAGAAACCAGTATTTTCATGATATGCCAATCTTCGGAAGGCTATATCTCAGATAAATAGGGCCCCAACGGTGAAGGACCTAGTCCTTTTTTCCAATGGCAGTCGATTAGCAGGACTCTCCCGAGCACGGAAAGACATGCCGCACCCCAATCGGCTGCCGTATTACAGAGATATAGCGTGCAGAAGAAACCAGTATTTTCATGATATGCCAATCTTCGGAAGGCTATATCTCAGATAAATAGGGCCCCATCGGTGAAGGACCTAGTCCTTTTTTCCAATGGCAGTCGATTGGCAGGTTTCTCCCGAGCACGGAAAGACATGCCACACCCCAATCGGCTGCCGTATTGCAGAGATATAGCGTGCAGAAGAAACCAGTATTTTCATGATATGCCAATCTTCGGAAGGCTATATCTCAGATAAATAGGGCCCGATCGGTGAAGGACCTAGTCCTTTTTTCCAATGGCAGTCGATTGGCAGGACTCTCCCGAGCACGGAAAGACATGCCACACTCCAATCGGCTGCCGTATTGCAGAGATATAGCGTGCAGAAGAAACCAGTATTTTCATGATATGCCAATCTTCGGAAGGCTATATCTCAGATAAATAGGGCCCGTTCGGTGAAGGACCTAGTCGCCCAGGATCGTGAGGATCCAGACTGTCGGTCGGCATCAAAATCTCGACTTCGAAAATGAGGCCGATTTTTGGCAAATTTAATGATGTAACCATCATGATTTTTTGCGAAAATCGTGAAAAAATTTATGTCCTTTTTTCCAATGGCAGTCGATTGGCAGGACTCTCCCGAGCACGGAAAGACATGCCGCACACCGATCGGCTGCCGTATTGCAGAGATATAGCGTGCAGAAGAAACCAGTATTTTCATGATATGCCAATCTTCGGAAGGCTATATCTCAGATAAATAGGGCCCCATCGGTGAAGGACCTAGTCCTTTCTTCCAATGGCAGTCGATTGGCAGGACTCTCCCGAGCACGGAAAGACATGCCGCACCCCTATCGGCTGCCGTATTGCAGAGATATAGCGTGCAGAAGAAACCAGTATTTTCATGATATGCCAATCTTCGGAAGGCTATATCTGAGATAAATAGGGCCCCATCGGTGAAGGACCTAGTCCTTTTTTCCAATGGCAGTCGATTGGCAGGACTCTCCCGAGCACGGAAAGACATGCCGCACCCCTATCGGCTGCCGTATTGCAGAGATATAGCGTGCAGAAGAAACCAGTATTTTCATGATATGCCAATCTTCGGAAGGCTATATCTCAGATAAATAGGGCCCGATCGGTGAAGGACCTAGTCCTTTTTTCCAATGGCAGTCGATTGGCAGGACTCTCCCGAGCACGGAAGGACATGCCGCACCCCGATCGGCTGCCGTATTGCAGAGATATAGCGTGCAGAAGAAACCAGTATTTTCATGATATGCCAATCTTCGGAAGGCTATATCTCAGATAAATAGGGCCCCAACGGTGAAGGACCTAGTCCTTTTTTCCAATGGCAGTCGATTAGCAGGACTCTCCCGAGCACGGAAAGACATGCCGCACCCCAATCGGCTGCCGTATTACAGAGATATAGCGTGCAGAAGAAACCAGTATTTTCATGATATGCCAATCTTCGGAAGGCTATATCTCAGATAAATAGGGCCCCATCGGTGAAGGACCTAGTCCTTTTTTCCAATGGCAGTCGATTGGCAGGTTTCTCCCGAGCACGGAAAGACATGCCGCACCCCTATCGGCTGCCGTATTGCAGAGATATAGCGTGCAGAAGAAACCAGTATTTTCATGATATGCCAATCTTCGGAAGGCTATATCTCAGATAAATAGGGCCCGATCGGTGAAGGACCTAGTCCTTTTTTCCAATGGCAGTCGATTGGCAGGACTCTCCCGAGCACGGAAGGACATGCCGCACCCCGATCGGCTGCCGTATTGCAGAGATATAGCGTGCAGAAGAAACCAGTATTTTCATGATATGCCAATCTTCGGAAGGCTATATCTCAGATAAATAGGGCCCCATCGGTGAAGGACCTAGTCCTTTTTTCCAATGGCAGTCGATTGGCAGGTTTCTCCCGAGCACGGAAAGACATGCCACACCCCAATCGGCTGCCGTATTGCAGAGATATAGCGTGCAGAAGAAACCAGTATTTTCATGATATGCCAATCTTCGGAAGGCTATATCTCAGATAAATAGGGCCCGATCGGTGAAGGACCTAGTCCTTTTTTCCAATGGCAGTCGATTGGCAGGACTCTCCCGAGCACGGAAAGACATGCCACACTCCAATCGGCTGCCGTATTGCAGAGATATAGCGTGCAGAAGAAACCAGTATTTTCATGATATGCCAATCTTCGGAAGGCTATATCTCAGATAAATAGGGCCCGTTCGGTGAAGGACCTAGTCGCCCAGGATCGTGAGGATCCAGACTGTCGGTCGGCATCAAAATCTCGACTTCGAAAATGAGGCCGATTTTTGGCAAATTTAATGATGTAACCATCATGATTTTTTGCGAAAATCGTGAAAAAATTTATGTCCTTTTTTCCAATGGCAGTCGATTGGCAGGACTCTCCCGAGCACGGAAAGACATGCCGCACACCGATCGGCTGCCGTATTGCAGAGATATAGCGTGCAGAAGAAACCAGTATTTTCATGATATGCCAATCTTCGGAAGGCTATATCTCAGATAAATAGGGCCCCATCGGTGAAGGACCTAGTCCTTTCTTCCAATGGCAGTCGATTGGCAGGACTCTCCCGAGCACGGAAAGACATGCCGCACCCCTATCGGCTGCCGTATTGCAGAGATATAGCGTGCAGAAGAAACCAGTATTTTCATGATATGCCAATCTTCGGAAGGCTATATGTCAGATAAATAGGGCCCGATCGGTGAAGGACCTAGTCCTTTTTTCCAATGGCAGTCGATTGGCAGGACTCTCCCGAGCACGGAAAGACATGCCGCACCCCGATCGGCTGCCGTATTGCAGAGATATAGCGTGCAGAAGAAACCAGTATTTTCATGATATGCCAATCTTCGGAAGGCTATATCTCAGATAAATAGGGCCCGATCGGTGAAGGACCTGGTCCTTTTTTCCAATGGCAGTCGATTGGCAGGACTCTCCCGAGCACGGAAGGACATGCCGCACCCCGATCGGCTGCCGTATTGCAGAGATATAGCGTGCAGAAGAAACCAGTATTTTCATGATATGCCAATCTTCGGAAGGCTATATCTTAGATAAATAGGGCCCCAACGGTGAAGGACCTAGTCCTTTTTTCCAATGGCAGTCGATTAGCAGGACTCTCCCGAGCTCGGAAGGACATGCCGCACCCCGATCGGCTGCCGTATTGAAGAGATATAGCGTGCAGAAGAAACCAGTATTTTCATGATATGCCAATCTTCGGAAGGCTATATCTCAGATAAATAGGGCCCGTTCGGTGAAGGACCTAGTCCTTTTTTCCAATGGCAGTCGATTAGCAGGACTCTCCCGAGCACGGAAAGACATGCCGCACCCCGATCGGCTGCCGTATTACAGAGATATAGCGTGCAGAAGAAACCAGTATTTTCATGATATGCCAATCTTCGGAAGGCTATATCTTAGATAAATAGGGCCCCAACGGTGAAGGACCTAGTCCTTTTTTCCAATGGCAGTCGATTAGCAGGACTCTCCCGAGCTCGGAAGGACATGCCGCACCCCGATCGGCTGCCGTATTGCAGAGATATAGCGTGCAGAAGAAACCAGTATTTTCATGATATGCCAATCTTCGGAAGGCTATATCTCAGATAAATAGGGCCCGTTCGGTGAAGGACCTAGTCCTTTTTTCCAATGGCAGTCGATTAGCAGGACTCTCCCGAGCACGGAAAGACATGCCGCACCCCGATCGGCTGCCGTATTACAGAGATATAGCGTGCAGAAGAAACCAGTATTTTCATGATATGCCAATCTTCGGAAGGCTATATCTCAGATAAATAGGGCCCCATCGGTGAAGGACGTAGTCCTTTTTTCCAATGGCAGTCGAT